TTACCACTTGACCGGACCCTTATGTATGAAACAAAACACAACTCCAGATCTGTTTTTGAGGAGGACACAACATTAGAACATAGATCAGAAAAATAGTGTAATCTGGGCTCTTTACATCATGTTATTGTTGTGTTTTTCTTTCAGAAAACTGTTTTTTATCAAAGCTTCAGACGCCCTGGAGAAACGTGGAGTGGACGGAGGAGTAAGTGACAGTAAATTCAGTGTTTCCCACACACAGACCAAACTTTGACTGAAAACCAAGAGGCACAAACTGATTCTGATTGATTTAAAGAGCCCATCTCATGCAAAATCAACTTTTCAGAGCTTTCTGCCTTCTCAGAGTGATGTGTGGGATTTGTCGCCCAAGTATTTTTTAGATTGATTCTGTGTTTTTTTAACAAAATGCAGAGTAGTTCTGCCACCCTCCCACGTGACAACAAACTAAAACTGCTACAACGATGACGGGCAGATTCACCTATGACACGTTTGACGTAGCAGAAAATGCTTCACACCCGCCTCCCTCCCCCACCTCCGCCCCGACTGCAGTGTACATGATATAATAAGTTGATCTACTAGTGTTTATTAATACTTTACCAATCAGTAATGTTCAGTTGATGTGGACGCGGTGCTTGAGCTTCGTGCTCCTCAAAGTCCTCATCCGATTCCGCGTCCAACACATGCGGCTGAACGCGCTGTATCTCCATGATGAATAAAAGTTTATTCCTGCCTCTATCAGGGTCACGTCTGTCTCCCCCTCCCTCCCTGAGATGGCGGAGGAAGGGCGGCTCACTCAGAGCCTACGTCACGTTTGGAGGGCGGACCCTGTGCTTTCTCAGGACGGGCGGGGGGATGAGGGGGATGATAACCACACTTTCATAGTTCTCAGTAAGATTTTATAACTATTGTGTAATGCAGAGGTGTCCAAACTTATTTCATCAAGAGCCACATGTTTAAACACAGATGAAGCAGAGGGCCGATCGAGGGCCGTAGACTGATGCTCAATACAGTGAATAATTAAAATATGTGCAGGTTTAACACGTTAGAATGAAACATCAGTCTTTATTCATGCTCAGATCATTAAAACCACACACTAAATATACAACATGACCTTTATCAAAATAGATTTTCAAAAAACTTACAGTAAAAAAATATTTTTTTAATTGATGCAAAGTAATTTGGACCAATTCACCTGGAAGCCTGAGGGCCAAGAAGAATTTGTCTGAGGGCCGCATTTGACCCCTGGGCCATAGTTTGGACATGTCTGGTGTAATGGATGTTCCAAAACCCAAACTGTGCTTGTTCATGTGCAGAAGATACAAGGTGAAAAGAGTTATTTTACATCAGATGGGACATTTAAAGTCGATTTTGTCATTGTCACTCACACGAGAGAGAGACACAGGATCCTGAGGAAGTCTCATGACACTGGAGTTATTTTTATAGAAAACCACAAAACAGGCTCATGCTGTTTCATTATTTCATTTAGTTTCCTTTTACCTTTAGTAGTTTCTTCGGTCTACAGAGTATTTTTTTAATCAATTTGTTTATTATAATAATTTAGTTAGTATTATTATATATTTGAAATTTGAAATATTTGAAATAAAAACCTCAAGATTTAGTTGGGTTTTTTGTAATTTATTCCTTGAATGTCAAAGAATCTAAAGTTCAGGTAAAAACTAAACTTTATTCAAATGAAAAAAAGCATCGCTCACTCAGACGAAAGAAGTCCAAAACGTGCTGTCGTCCGAAGTAAGAAACATTTCTGAGGCTCAGGATTGAGACCGGGACCAGACCAGAAAAAATGAATCATGACCTGTTTTTTTCATTTTGGTTTTGGAGACAAATAATGAAGAAAACTGTTTTCTGTTTTTTTTTTTTTTTAGTTTTTCGTTTTCTAACTTTTGGTTTTATCTTGAAAAACGAATGAAGGAATGACACACGGATTCTTAATGTTTCTTAAATGTCTCAGGTCCTTTAACCTGTTCAAGGTTAAAGGACCTGAGACATTTAAGAAACATTAATTGACCCTGGTCTTGTGTTTGTTGTGCAGAGAGAGGAGCGCCCTGGTGCAGAGGCTGTCCTCCTACGCCCCCTGCAGTCGGGACGTGGCACAGGCGCGTGTCCTCCTCGTGGGACCTGTGGGCTCGGGCAAGTCCAGCTTCATCAGCTCAGTGCAGTCTGTGTTTGAGGGGAGAGTCACCAACAGAGCCATGGTGGGACAGAGCCACGGCAGCTTTACAAAGAAGGTACATGCAGCTGGTACAGACTGGTACAGACTGGTACAGGCTGGTACAGGCTGGTACAGGCTGGTACAGACTGGTACAGGCTGGTACAGGCTGGTACAGACTGGTACAGGCTGGTACAGGTTGGTACAGACTGGTACAGACTGGTACAGGACTGGTACAGGCTGGTACAGGCTGGTACAGGCTGGTACAGGCTGGTACAGACTGGTACAGGCTGGTACAGGCTGGTACAGGACTGGTACAGGCTGGTACAGGTTGGTACAGGTTGGTACAGGGGATGAGGTGCCATACAAACAAAAAGAAACTATTAGAAAACCAAACAAAGTTCAAGATTTTATGATTAAATATAATCATTTCTGACAGTGGTTGGACTCCGCCAGGGTCGCTCCTGTCACCGGTTCTGTTCATTGTTTTTATGGACAGAATTTCTAGGCGCAGTCAGGGGTCGGAGGGTCCGGTTTGAGAACCACAGGATCATCTCTGCTGTTCGCAGATGATGTTGTCCTGTTGTCTTCATCAGACCAGGACCTGCAGCTCTGGGGCGGTTTGACCCGAGTGTGAAGCGTCTGAGATGAAGATCGGCTCCTCCAAATCTGAGGTTGTGGTTCTTGACCAGAAAAAGGCGTCTTGCCCTCTCCAGATGGAGAGTCTCTGCCTCAAGTGGAGGAGTTCAAGTATGTCCTGGTCTTGTTCTTGAGTGAGGGGAGGACGGAGCGTGAGATTGACAGGTGGACAGGTGCAGTGATGTAGTCGCTGTATCGGACCGTTGTGGTGAAGAGGAGCTGAGTCGAAAGGCGAAGCTCTAGATTTACCGTCAATCTACATTCCCCCACTCACCTCTGGTCATGAGCTCTGGGTAATGACCAAAAGGACGAGATCGTGGATACAAGTGGCACAAATGAGTTTCCTCCGCAGGGTGTCTGGGCGCTCCCTTAGAGATTGGGTGAGGAGCTCAGTCACACGGGAGGAGCTCGGAGTAGAGCTGCTGCTCCTCCAGGTGGAGAGGAGTGGCTGAGGAGAGGACATCTGTTCCGGATGCCTCCTGGGCGTCTCCCTCAGGAGTTGTTCTGGGCCTGTCCCACCAGGAGGAGGCTCCGGGGAAGATCCAGGACACACTGGAGGGACTATGTCTCTGGGCTGGCCTGGGAACACCTCGGGGTCCCCCTGGAGGAGCTGGAGGAAGTGTGTGTGTGGAAAGAGAAGTGTGGGAGTCCCTGCTTAGACGGCTGCCTCCACGACCCGACCCCAGATAAAGCGGGAAAAAAAAGGGATGGATGGAAACATAAAGATGTTAAATATGTTTTAGTGAATTGGGTTTAACCTGTCACATATTTAAACTCTTTTGTTTGTGTCTGTGTTCGTGTATCTTTGTGTGTGTCTGTGTGTGTTTATGTGTCTTTATGTGTGTTTGTTTATGTTTGTGTTTGTGTTTGTGTGCAGCTCCAGTGTTTCCCTCTTCGTTCCTCGGACAAGACCTGTGCTCTGGAGCTGTGGGACTCCATGGGCTTTGGAGACTGTGGTGGACCCAGTCTGCAGCAGCTGCTCAGTGTGGTCAAAGGACACGCCCCCGACGGATACCAGGTACACCAGATGCCCTACCGCTCATGTAACCGTCTCACTGTACCAGGATATACGAGGCTCGTTCTCGTCTGGAGGTCGTTTATTTTAAGAGAACTCGTCAAGTAAAATGATCTCGCTGCATGAACAGATTATTTAATTACTTTTAAGTCATTTCCTGACAGATTTAAGTGTTTACATCAGGGGTGCTCAATATGTCGATTGCAATCTACCAGTCGATCACCAAGGTCGTGTGGGTAGATCGCCGTGTCTCTTCTCGGACTCACGTTTGGACTCGGTCTTGTCTCTCACTCGAGGTCTGACACTCCACAAGTGTGATCATATTTCATTCCGGCCGCTGCTGTTGGTAATAAACTTGTAGCGGGTGCAGGAGCGTGTGGGGCGTCTCAGTGCAGCCTGTGCGCTCATTTGAAACCCGCGGAGACTCTACGGCGCATCACAAACACACACGCTCCCTATGCACGGCTCGTCTGCGACAGCGTGTGCCCTCGTGTACCAGCGTGCATCACAGGGCAGGTTCAACTTCCTAAACATCCTACCTGTCCATCTGCCTCACGTCAGCACGCCGCCCCTCGCCTTTTCACGCTCTCGCTCCTTCCTGCGTACAGCAAACACAAGCCCCTCCCACAGTGCGGCTGATTAGAAGAGCAAGACCAAACGTGAAGCAAAAACCAGTCTAAATTTGTGTTCCAGTGTTGGCACAAAGCAGGTCTACAGCATAGAGCGGATCTACAGAACAGACCTACTGCCACATTTGACTGAAGTTTGTCTAACAAAAGTGACAAATGCATCTGTGTTTGTCACAATGTGCGTTTGGTTTGGTAAACGTTAGGGACGGGCATTCGATGAAATTTTCTTAATCGATCGTCAAGAGAATTAACGATCGATTATCGATTAATCATTAACGTTTTTATATTAAAATGATCATCATTATTATTACTATCTGCACTAATCTGCATAAATAAATTCAACTTTACGACATATAAACCATAAAGACTCTAGAGCCACATCAGTCCGTTTATTATAATGTCTTTAATTCAGTTTTGTTCAAATCTCACAGAAACAAAACTTAAAACCACATCACTAATTTGCATAAACTAAGCAAAGATAAAAACTCCAGCTCTTGTGTCGCTGATGTGGTTCAATTTCTGTCGGATTAAAAGACATGACTCAGGTGAATACAGGTTAGTGTGAACATATTTGCGTTTGTCAAAACCAGGACAGCGTACGGGGGGAGGGGGGCGGGGCCTCGTCATCCACATTGAGCGACTCTCACCTGGTAAAACTTTTTCCCACTGGACACAGAAACATATGTGCTGCTTTATACACTGTGCACATGGACTCACACTTGTCCCAACGCAACGGAAAGTGTGGAATTTCTTGTACAAATCATCGTTAAATCCACATTTGTGCTTCGGTTCGTTACAGACTGACCCACTGTTTGTGTCTCGCTCCTTCTGATGCAGAGACACATGTACACACCTGTTTGGTCACAATACACACAGCAACCTACATTCGGTTTGTCGATTAAAATTTACGTAATCGATGAAATTCTTAATGATCAATTATCAATTAATCGACTAATCATGCCCATCCCTAGTAAACGTGCAGAGGCTGGTAAATATCACTGCAAAACCAGAAAAGAATGCAACTCCAGTTTGAAACTTTAAAAAACAGGTTTAAAAATCTTCCTTCACTTTTTTCACAGTTTTGTGTAAAGTGCCAGAGGAAGTTCTCTTAAAGAAGAGGTTCTCAAACTGTGGGTGAGGGTCCAAAAAAGGGGCACAGAGTGTTTCAGTGCAGTTTGCTTGGCTTTGTATTAGGTAGATCATTTTGTAAGTAGCTCGCATGCGGAAAAAGTGTGAGCACCCCTGGTTTAGATCTTAAATTTTGCCAGAGCTTTTTTGCAGGGTGGGTAAGTAGAAGGTTAACGTGTGATACTCTGTAAAAGCTTTAGAGGAGCTGTAGAATCGTGCTGGTCTCATGTGCTGCTGTTGTGTGTGCAGTTCCGAGTGGATCAGGCTCTGTGCTCAGACACAGAGGGCTACATAAAGCGCCCGGGCCTGAGGGAGCACATGCACTGTGTGGCTTTTGTCCTGGACGCCTCCAAAGTCTCCACCTGCTCCGACAGCACCAGAGTCTTCCTCCAGCAGCTGAGGAGCTTCATCACCGACCTGGGTGAGTCCTGCTCCACACTGACTCCTCCTCTTCAACTCCTAAAGTCCGGTCAGATCAGAAAACGCACTGGAGGAAAATACTTGAATTATTCAGGGCGTCCTGGTGTAGTCCTGGTTTAGTCCTGGTTTAGACCTAGTTTAGACCTGGTTTAGACCTAGTTTAGTCCTGGTTTAGTCCTGGTTTAGACCTAGTTTAGACCTGGTTTAGACCTAGTTTAGTCCTGGTTTAGTCCTGGTTTAGACCTAGTTTAGACCTGGTTTAGACCTAGTTTAGTCCTGGTTTAGTCCTGGTTTAGACCTGGTCCAGTTCTGGTGTAGTCCTGGTGTAGTCTTGGTTTAGTCCTGGTCCCGTCCTGGTCCAGTCTTGGTTCAGTCCTGGTTTAGTCCTGGTTTAGATCTGGCCCAGTTCTGGTGTAGTCTTGGTTTAGTCCTGGTCCAGTCCTGGTTTAGTCCTGGTTTATGTCCTGGTTTAGTCCTGGTCCAGTTCTGGTGTAGTCCTGGGTGTAGTCTTGGTTTAGTCCTGGTCCAGTTCTGGTGTAGTCTTGGTTTAGACCTGGTCCAGTCCTGGTCCAGTCTTGGTTTAGTCCTTGGTTTATTCCTGGTTTAGTCCTGGTTTTAGTCCTGGTTTAGACCTGGTTTAGTCCTGGTTTAGTCCTGGTTTAAGTCCTGGTTTATTCCTGGTTTAGTCCTGGTTTTGGTCACCTGGTTTAGACCTGGTTTAGACCTGGTTTAGTCCTGGTTTAATCCTGGTTTAATCCTGGTTTAGACCTGGTCCAGTTCTGGTGTAGTCCTGCTGTAGTGTTTTGGTTTAGTCCTGGTCCAGTCCTGGTTCAGTCTGGTTCAGTCCTGGTTTAGTCCTGAATTAGTCCTGGTTTAGACCTGAATTAGTCCTGGTTTAGACCTGGTTTAGTCCTGGTTTAGATCTGACCCAGTTTTCTGGTGGTTTAGTCTTGGTTTAGTCCTGGTTCAGTCTTTTAATTTTAACCTGTTATTATTTTATCATTTTCCTGACATATTTGTCGTGTTTTTAAAGGTGTTCATCAGGTCGTCCTCCTGACTCATGTGGACAAAATCTGTAACGAAACTCAGAAGGACACGTCCGAGGTTTACAAGAGCATCATCGTTCGACAAGCGGTAACGAGCCACAAACGATTATTTTTAAATCTTTGTAAAAAAAAAAAAAAAACGATGGAAAAAAATCGTAGGTTATAAAAGCCGAAAAAAGCTTAAAGAAGGGATATTGATTGATTGATTGATTGATTTTTTTTTAGGTTTCTAACATGTTATAACATTGTGTCTGGAGAGGTTTTAGATCGCCCATGCATGTTTGAGTAATCTAGCGATCTCTCCTGGGCCCTATTTAAATGAAGATCATAAATAGTGCAAATTTTTATCAGCTAAAAAACAAAACTGAAAAAATCAAAAGTTTACTGTCTAAATTAGATTTGGAGAGACTTATCCAGGTATTTGTTTGACCTGGTGTAGTCCTGGTTGAGTCCTGGTTCAGTCTTGGTTCAATCCTGGTTTAGTCCTAGTTTAGTCCTGTTTAATTTAATCCTGGTTTAGTCCTGGTTCAGTGCTGGTTTAGTCCTGGTTTAGTTTTGGTTTAGTCCTGGTTTAGTCCTGTTTAATTTAATCCTGTTTAGTCCTGGATAAGTTTTGGTTTAGTCCTGGTTCAATCCTGGTTTAATCCTGGTTTAGTCCTGGTTTAGTCCTGGATTAGTCCTGGTTTAGTCCTGGTTTAGTCCTGGTTTAGTCTTGTTTAATTTAATCCTGTTTAGTCCTGGATAAGTTTTGGTTTAGTCCTGGTTCAATCCTGGTTTAGTCCTGGTTTTAGTCCTGGATTTGTCCTGGTTTAATCCTGGTTTAGTCCTGGTTTAGTCCTGGTTTAGTCTTGTTTAATTTAATCCTGTTTAGTTCTGGTTCAGTCCTGGTTGTGAAACAGACTCGACTCTGACTCTGTTTAAATCCAAACTCAAAACTGACTGAAAGGTTTTCATCTCTCACTCTTCTCTCGCATTTAGTTTTATGTTTTGATTTGTTTGTTTTGTGATTTTAATGTATTTCTTATTTTGTAGAATTATTTTGTGTACGATTTATTTTTGTAGAATTATTTTGTGTACGACTTATTTTTGTAGAATTATTTTGTGTACGACTTATTTTTGTAGAATTATTTTGTGTACGACTTATTTTTGTAGAATTATTTTGTGTACGACTTATTTTTGTAGAATTATTTTGTGTACGACTTATTTTTGTAGGATTACTTTGTGTACGATTTATTTTTGTAGGATTATTTTGTGTACGACTTATTTTTTGTAGAATTATTTTGTGTACGACTTATTTTTGTAGAATTACTTTGTGTACGACTTATTTTTGTAGGATTATTTTGTGTACGACTTATTTTTGTAGAATTATTTTGTGTACGACTTTTTTTTGTAGAATTACTTTGTGTACGACTTATTTTTGTAGGATTATTTTGTGTACGACTTATTTTTGTAGAATTATTTTGTGTACGACTTATTTTTGTAGAATTATTTTGTGTACGACTTATTTTTGTAGAATTATTTTAAGTCGAATTATTTTGTGTACGACTTATTTTTGTAGAATTATTTTGTGTACGACTTATTTTTGTAGAATTATTTTGTGTACGATTTATTTTTGTAGAATTATTTTGTGTACGATTTATTTTTGTAGAATTATTTTGTGTACGACTTATTTTTGTAAGAATTATTTTGTGTACGATTTATTTTTTGTAGAATTATTTTTGTGTACGACTTATTTTTGTAGAATTATTTTGTGTACGATTTATTTTTGTAGAATTATTTTGTGTACGACTTATTTTTGTAGAATTATTTTGTGTACGACTTATTTTTGTAGAATTATTTTGTGTACGATTTATTTTTGTAGAATTATTTTGTGTACGATTTATTTTTGTAGAATTATTTTGTGTACGATTTATTTTTGTAGAATTATTTTGTGTACGACTTATTTTTGTAAGATTATTTTGTGTACGATTTATGCTGTACAAATAAAACCTGTGTGTGTTTGCAGATGTTTAAAGCGGCGGAGCTGGTGGGCATGTCCCCGTCCTCCGTGGTGCCAGTGAGGAACTACTGGTGTGAACTCGAGCTGGACCTGAGCTCAGACGTCCTGCTGCTGCGAGCGCTGGAGCTACTGCTGCAGTACACCGACCTGTACTACAGGGAGCAGCAGAGAGCCCCCTCCAAACACGAACACTGAGCTGCAGTACACCCACCTGTACTGCAGGGAGCAGCAGAGAGCCCCCTCCAAACACGAACACTGAGCTGCAGTACACCCACCTGTACTGCAGGGAGCAGCAGAGAGCCCCCTCCAAACACGAACACTGAGTGTATAGAGGATTCACACACATCAAAATCTGGACTAAACTGGGACTAAATTCAGGACTAAACCAGGACTGAACCAGGACTGAGCCAGGACTGAACCAGGACTAAACCAGGACTGAGCCAGGACTAATACAGGACTAAAACAGGACTAAAACAGGACTGAACCAGGTCTAAACCAGGACTAGACCAGGACTGAGCCAGGACTAATACAGGACTAAAACAGGACTAAAACAGGACTGAACCAGGTCTAAACCAGGACTAGACCAGGACTGAACCAGGACTGAACCAGGACTAAACCAGGACTGAACCAGGTCTAAACCAGGACTAGACCAGTACTGAACCAGGACTAAACCAGGACTGAACCAGGACTGAGCCAGGACTAATACAGGACTAAAACAGGACTAAAACAGGACTGAACCAGGACTAAACCAGGACTGAACCAGGACTGAACCAGGTCTAAACCAGGACTAGACCAGGACTGAACCAGGACTGAACCAGGACTAAACCAGGACTGAACCAGGTCTAAACCAGGACTAGACCAGGACTGAACCAGGACTAAACCAGGACTGAACCAGGTCTAAACCAGGACTAGACCAGGACTGAACCAGGACTAAACCAGGAATAAACTAGGTCCAGGACCAGATTGGAACCAGACTGGGACTGAGACTAGGATTTAGACCAGGGAACTGACACCAGGACTGAGGCCAAGACCGAGACTGGGACTGAGGCCAGGACGAGACTGGGACTGAGACCAGGATCAGGAATGAAAACGGTTTAGTCTTGTTTTAATCTTGGTTTAGTCCTGGTTCAGCCCGTTATCCGTTTTTTTCCATTTTTCATTTAAACACAAAATCGAAAACTGAAAAAACGAATCATTATCTGTTTTTTCATTTTGGTTTTGGAGACAAATAATGAAGAAAACTGTTATTTTCTTTTGGTTTTATTTTGAAAAACGAATGAACGAATGAAACACGGATTCATAATTAATATAAACTAAATTATAAACTTCACCAAAAATGTAAATAATATAAAAACTAGAAAGATCTTTTAATAAAATATAATGGTGTTTTAATGAAATGAGTCTAACCTGTCGTGTATTTTAAAGGTGGATTGTGGAACTTTTCAAATACTTTTCAACGTGGAGATGTTACCGCTTTGTCTGGAATGTTCCGCAGTGTGGCATTAAACAAAACCCGCTCACAGTCGGAGTGTTTGTTTTTGTTTTCCGAGGTGTTTTTGAGCTGTAAAACCACCTGTATAATTGAATAAATGTAAGTTTGAGCTGTTTAAAGTCACACTGCGGAACATTCCAGGCAGAGCAAAGTCAGAGTCTGTGTTTTTTATTTACATTTTTTAAATTCAACATTTTAAAAATTTCAAAACACAAAACAGAACGGCTGCAGCTGAAAGTGTTAAAACATGAGGTGCTCCTGTAGTTTTTATCGACCTGTGACCACGTCCGTTATCGATTATCTCTCGTTTTGTTTTGTTTTAAATTCATAATATTTTAATTTTAAAAAGGTCTACAGGGAACAAAAAGGGGAATGGGGCTTTAATGTGTTGTATAATTTCATTTTGTAAATATTTTAATAAAGATTTTGTAAAGTTTAAGTAATTTTTCACTCATTTTATAGATTTTATTGACTTTTTTTGTTCTTTTGTTGTAATTTTATAAACTCATTGTTCTGTAAAACTGCTTGGACTCGGTCTTGTCCCGGTTTCGAAGGCGCTTGGACTCGGTCTTGTCTCGGTCTTGAAGGCGCTTGGACTCGGTCTTGTCTCGGCCTTGAAGAAGCTTGAACTAATTTTTTTCTAGGTCTTGTCTCAGTCTTGAAGTTGCTCGGACTCAGTCTTGTCTTGGTCTTCAAGGAGCTTGAACTCGGTCTTGAAGACGCTTGGACTCGGTCTTGTCTCGGTCTTGAAGGTGTTCGGTCTTGTTTTTTTCATGGTCTTGTCTCGGTCTTGAAGGAGCTTGAACTCGGTCTTGAAGGAGCTTGGACTCGGTCTTGTCTCGGTCTTGAAGGTGCTTGGACTCGGACTTGTCTTGGTCTCGTCTCGGTCTTGAAGGCGCTTGGACTCGGTCTTGTCTCGGTCTTGAAGGAGCTTGGACTTGGTCTTGTCTCGGTCTTGTCTCGGTCTTGAAGGAGCTTGGACTTGGTCTTGTCTCGGTCTTGAAGGAGCTTGGACTTGGTCTTGTCTCGGTCTTGAAGGTGCTTGGACTCGGACTTGTCTTGGTCTCGTCTCGGTCTTGAAGGCGCTTGGACTCGGTCTTGTCTCGGTCTTGTCTTGGTCTTAAAGGAGCTTGGACTCGGTCTTGAAGGCGCTTGGACTCGGTCTTGTCTCGGTCTTGAAGGAGCTTGGACTTGGTCTTGTCTCGGTCTTGAAGGTGCTTGGACTTGGTCTTGTCTTGGTCTTAAAGGAGCTTGGACTGTCTTGTCTCGGTCTTGTCTCGGTCTTGAAGGAGCTTGGACTTGGTCTTGTCTTGGTCTTAAAGGAGCTTGGACTTGGTCTTGTCTCTTGTCTCGGTCTTGAAGGCGCTTGGACTCGGTCTCTCGGTCTTGTCTTGGTCTTGAGTCTTGGTCTTGGACTCGGTCTTGGACTCGGACTTGTCTTGGTCTCGGTCTTCTTGGAGCTTGGACTCGGTCTTGTCTTGCTCTCGGTCTTGAACTTGGGTCTTGGTCTTAAGGAGCTTGGACTCGGTCTTGTCTTGGTCTTAAAGGAGCTTGGACTCGGTCTTGTAATGAAAGTTACACAGTGCAACTTTAAATATTTCATGTATTCAGAGTTAATAAAGAAAATAAAACAGAAAGAGGAGGTTAATTATTTTTACTTAAGGAGTCGTTTTTCCAAATTACAAAACTTTTTATTCTTATTTTCTTGCACCTGGACACAGCGGTGGAAGAAGTTCATAATTTTCTTACTTAAGTAAAATAAATACTCAAAAAATACACAAGTAAAAGTATCATCATAACAATGTGAACCTGAACAGATTTTAATAACCACAAGATATTACAGTTTTAAAGTGAACTCTGCAAAAGACACTGTCTGTTATTTATGGAACACCCAGTAAATGTATATTTATATTATTATTTATTAAACTGTCTATATTATTTTTCTTGATGCATATTTTAATTCCCTCTGGTTTATTCCACTTCAAATGTCACTGTGTGATGAACATGAATTGTCTAACTCTAATCTACGCTCCAAACTTTTATTTTGAAATGCACTTCCGGAGGTTCTGCTCTGTTCTGTTTCTGGTCATTTGTGTTGGAACATCGAAACTGTCGTGCTCACGGGAAACTGCTGTGTGTTTTCGGTACGTTATGAGTTTATGCTACTTTTATTTCAGTGTTGATTTATTTACATTTTAGTCCAGCTCCTTCCTCCTCTGTCACATGTGCTGTTGTTTAAATCAGTGCTCCTCAAACTTTGTTCTAGTAACATGTTTCTTTATCTCATCACGTCTCGAGACTCACTGTATCTGCAGTGACACGCGCCTGGACTGTGGACCACACGCTGAATCTGTCTCCACTGAGTAAAAACTGGAACTTTTGGACGTTTAATTTTTAAAATGCATTAAAAGTGAATGAGAGCGGCTCCACTGCGCGCGCCAGGCGAGGGAATGGAGCAGCGCGTCCTGCGCGCGTAGATTTCAGAAAAGAGGATCCATCCTGTTTTCTGACGCTCTACGTGAGCGCAGGCGCGTGTCCTCGTCAAAACACACAGAGAGCACGAGTCTATTGTTGTATTTGTGCGTTTATCATCAGTACAACGTCCACCTGGGGCAGTTCTGTGTCGTTTGGTTTAGAAAAACTGTTCATTAGTGTTTTGAAATGTACTTCTGAAATCCTGGCGTTTGCCGTGATCCGCCTGTACACACGGTAAATCCAAGTCTGTTCATGTGGTTAGTTTTTTACTGTGGACCTGTTGTAAACGCGCCCAGTCAAGTCTGATGATATTTCCCATTGAGAAACAAACGTACGGCCCTGGCTCCACTGCACGAGTGTACGCGCGTAATCTCGCGAAACCACAGCCGCGCGTCATGGCGAGAGCGGCTGCACCTGCAGCTGCAGCGGGACGTGCAGCGCAGCTCTGCCTCTGTGTTTGTTTATGGGAGAGATCATCTGACTTGACTTGACTGGGCGCGTTTAGCCGGTTGTATCAGGTCCACAGTGAAACTAACCAACTAAATAGGTTTGTAAATAGGCCCTAAACGCTGGCGCGTGCAGTGTGTCCAGACTCGGACAGGGGCGGTTCACGTATCGATAGGATCGATAGTCTCCAGAGGGGGACAGGGTGTGTCTCGTATCTTTGCATTTTGGCGCCTCAAAATAAATTTCCTCGTTATTCGCCGTGAATATGAGTCGGATTGTAATAAAAACACACATCCTTTTTCATCTCATCAAGTACAGAACATCTCAACAAGTACAGAACATCTCAACAAGTACAGAACATTTCAACAAGTACAGAACATCTCAACAAGTACAGAACATCTCAACAAGTACAGAACATTTCAACAAGTACTGAACATCTCAACAAGTACAGAACATCTCAACAAGTACAGAACATCTCAACAAGTACAGAACATTTCAACAAGTACAGAACATCTCAACAAGTACAGAACATTTCAACAAGTACTGAACATCTCAACAAGTACAGAACATCTCAACAAGTACAGAACATTTCAACAAGTACAGAACATCTCAACAAGTACAGAACATTTCAACAAGTACAGAACATCTCAACAAGTACAGAACATCTCAACAAGTACAGAACATCTCAACAAGTACAGAACATCTCAACAAGTACAGAACATCTCAACAAGTACAGAACATTTCAACAAGTACAGAACATCAACAAGTACAGAACATCTCAACAAGTACAGAACAGAACATCTCAACAAGTACAGAACATCTCAACACAGAACATCTCAACAAGTACAGAACATCTCAACAAGTACAGAACATCTCACAAGTACAGAACATTTCAACAAGTACAGAACATGCCTGTGCAGTCACCTTTGTCCTCTCTGTCCACAATTTGTCTTCAGTGGGGGTTGATTTTCAATTCTCTTTCCTCGCTTCCTACTTTTTTATATATATATATATATATATATTATGGCTGGGCAAAAATTAAAAAAATTTAATCGTGATTAATCGCATGAGTTTGAGCGATTAATCGCATGTTATACGCAAAACTAATTAATGAATTAAAACGTAGAGTATAGCGCTCTTTTATTGGAAATGTAAATGAAAGAGCCATACATTTGTTGTCATCAGTGTTTATCTGTGGAGTCATTTGTCTGTGTGTGTGTTCGTACTAGAGATGCGCGGATGGCGGTTACAGCCGCGGACTCCGCAACACAGATTATGTTTTTTTTACGGACAATCGGTTTGAGTCTGGATTCAAATTAAGTTTATTAGTGCAGACTTGTGATGTGGGAGGAGCCTGTGTGAGCGCTGAGTGTTGGAAAATATGTCGACTTTGAAGCTGGTTTTGGTTCGTTCTGATTGGTTAGCGATTAGCTGCTGTAGTTCTCACAACAGACTGTTTTGTATTGGTCTGTTGTAAAGTGATTATATTGGCCGTATATTTGTTACTGGACCTGCACTGATATGTAAATAAGCTGTGAATAGAGGTGTGAATGATCAACATTTACACATATAATTAATTACCGTGGCGCTCACGTATTTACGGCTAAAGGCTAATAGCGGTAGTTTCTTTACTAGCTAGTAGTGATGGGTCGGTCGCGAACGAAGCGGCTCTTTGAAGAGAACAACGGGAGCCTGATCCTTATTGGGAGCTGTGTTTTCTCTTTCTCTCACTTTTTTCTCTTCATGTCGCGTGCAGACTCTTGGTAGTTTGACAGCAGCAGCGGCTGAAAACAAAACTTTCAGAAATATGCGTGTGGATAGGAGAGAAAAAACTTGCATATTTGGATGTAGTTCAGCATAAAATAAATAAACCAGGACTAATCTTGGGCTCAAGAGACGGATGAGAGATAGAGACCGAGTCCTGACACTCAGTCCTGGTTCAGTTCTGGTTTAGACCTGCTTTAGACCTGCTTTAGTCCTATGACATATGATGTAAAGAGGCAGAATAATAATAAATGTTGCCTAAATAAACCCAGTTTAAAATCCACTAGAGCCAAACTTAAGTTTTTTTAAACAATTCAAGATTTACAGTGAATTTTTACATCACTAAATATATCGGCAATTATATCGGCAGCTCCAACTCCCATTATATCGGTACATATAAGCCACAACAAAATCCATATCGGTCAGGCCCTATATATATATATATATATATATATATATATATATATATATATATATATATATATATATATATATATATATATATATATATATATATATGTATATATATATATATGTATGTATATATATATATGTGGGACGGAAACCACAGAGGAAAGCTGATCAGATAAAATAACAGAACTGTGCTTGTCTCACAGTGAGGAGTTTGTGCTCAGCAGGTTTGACATGTTGTATAATCCTGAATCTGACATGAACACTAGTACATCAGTATCAGAGCAGAAAAAAGCTGGATCGGTGCATCTCTATTACTTTGGACATTATGTTTTTATTAAAGCAGACCTTCTGTGCTTGTGTCCGCTGGATCTTATAATTTGGTCATATCAAATCACAATATTCACCTAAAATTTATTTTAAAAAAAGTTTGCTGAAAACTTACCCAGTGGTCATCAACAAAGCGTCAGGTGCTTAAAAGATTTAAAAAACCCAAGGCACTCACTGGTTAAAATAAAATGCCATAATTTACGGCATGTCTTAATGGACAGCTTACAAAGTCCCGACGCGTTTCAGCCTATGGCTTTCCTCAGGGGACAAACGTCGGGTGCTGTCGGCCCCCTGATGATTTACACTAAAATGATGAAACGACGCCGCTGAATCCTCCACGTGTCACTGATAAAAAAATAAACTGGAGAAGGATGAAGAGAGCAGAGCAGTGGGCGTGTACCAGGGACGATGAAAACGGGCAGATCTGAGCAGTGATGTTTTAAATACAGGAGAATAAAACAACATGAATCACTCCAAATAAAACTTCACAGGGTAAAAGAAAAAGAAAAAACTGTAACATACTGTAACAAAAGTCTTTATTTTCAGAATAGCTCTGCTTTAATCACATCCTCAAACTACTCTTTTCTTTCTTTTCTCTTGAAGCTGTTGTCATGAACTCCAACCTGACGAGGGTCCAGCAGAGGGCGCTGTGCCGGGAGCTGGGAGGAGGAGTGAAGCTGAAGCTGCTCTTTAAAGCTTCCATCCACGGCTTCACTGGAGCAGCGTTTCATCAGCGCTGTGACGGCCGAGGCCCCTCCATCTCTGTGGGATACAACAGCTCCGGATACGTGTTCGGAGGATACACCAACGTCTCCTTCACTCAGGCCGGGAATTATGTCAACGATCCAAAGGCCTTTCTGTTTACCTTTAAAGGAGACGCTCTGCTCAAATATCCCACCACCAACAGTGGCTATGCCGTCAAAATGATCAATAACACAGGCCCATACTTTGCAGAAAGTTTGATTCTCATGAATGGAGGCGCAAATGTTGTTTACACTAATTCAGGAAAATACTACACGGCCATCTCTCCTGCAGAAATGCACGGCAACGACCTGCAGCTGATCGAGTGTGAGGTTTACCAGGTGGAAGGTAACTCCTTCACTTACACAGCACCTGTCATACACCTGTTACAATAATCACCAGATCCACTTATTGTTCAGTATATGAAAGATGGAACTATAGATTTAGTGTTTGCATTTTTTCAGACAAATAATAATGACTTCCTGTGAGGCTTTTGTATTATTATTTTCAGGTGTTAATGGTCTTCTTTAGATTTGAGCTGCAGAGGGATTGACTGAACTTTGAATTTAAAGCTGAATTCTTGAGCCTTTCATTTATGTATTGCAGCTCAGGTTCTAAAGCAGACACTGTGTGTACAGTGTGTACAGTGTCTGCTTTAGTGTCATAATCTGCTTTAGGGGCATAATAACACCCCCCTCACTCATGCCAAAGTACACACAGGTGTCATATAGATTGTTTGTGATGCTACACTGAATGGCGCCCTGGGTAAGATCCCAATAAAATAAAAATTTAAAAAAGTGAGGACTGGGTTGTCTCATGCCGCCCCCCACAAGGTGGTGCCCTGGGTGGCTGGTCCCTCATGTCTCAGGTCACATAGGACAGTAGTGCAGATTTCATGAGCCTGTGCAGGTTGTTTTCATCATTGTCAGTAGCTCCGGTTTGACATTTAAGTTGTAGCTATTTTATATTTGTTATAAAATGGGTGGACGGTGTATCCCCGTGTACCACGCCCACTACAACCCTGAATATATCCAACTTCAGAATTTATGAACTTCAGAGTGTAGACTCTGAACCTGTTACTCAACGGTAATGTGGTGATGCCAGGTGGAGCCACAGAGCTGTGTGTTTGTCTCTAATGTTCCTCATGTTCCTCATGTTCCTCATGTTGTGTTTGACAGAGAACGTGGAGCTGGAGAAGCCCTGGAGGCCCATGGTTTGGCTTTCAGAGTAAGTGCCCAGTGATGCAGTGGTGTCATCTTCATTTTACTATTATTGAGTACTGGTCCATCTCATAAAATCAGAATAGATTTAACGTTCTGAAAAGAGTGACAACAATTATTGAACATTTTCATGATGTTCTTATTTTTTGAGATGGACTAGTGTAGTGATCATTTTTTACCAAGATGAAAAAACAGGGTTAGTGGAAATGTAGTGAAATGGATAATCCAAGCGCAGCTATGGGACATGCTCCAAAATCAATAAAGCGTTTTCCTGAAGGAAGTCCTCCCCGGAAAACTCAACTATCAGTATTTATTACGTGCACAGTTTCTTTGCATTTGGGGGATATTTTGTCATTTTGTCATTTTTTTGAGCTGTAGAGGGTTAAATAAATAAACCCACTAGCCGTCAAGTTTCCAAATAGGTAGAGGGCATGGGTGTGCTTCCAGCTCCATCGACTCTGGCTCCAGTTCACGTTCTATTGAAAAAAACATCGCTTCTTTCTCTGTAACTGCTCCTGTGAGCCACGTCGTTTTGGTCTTAAAATCTTTGTTTTAACCCACTTTACAAGATCCTGGGTTTTTATTTAGCTATTTTGTTCATAAATCAAGATGAATATTAAAAACAGATACTGTAGAGTACAGTAGAGTAACCTACTGTGTGTACTGTGTGTACTGTGTGTACTGTAATGTTCTGTCTCTGTGCAGGAGGAGGCGGGAGCTCATGGACACTGTCTCCTCGTACAAGCCTCTCTGCAGCTCTGTGTCCAAGGTGAGGGTGCTGCTCATGGGACCCGTGGGTGCCGGAAAGTCCAGCTTCTTCAACTCCATCAACTCTGTGTTCAGAGGTCATGTGACCATCCAGGCCATGGCAGGATCCAGCGCCACCAGCCTCACCACACAGGTACTACACAAGACACCAAGATGGACACAACACCCAGGCCACCCACGTCTTATATCAACCTCTATGATTTAAAGTGGAACTAAACACTAAATACGTTTTTTCTTCACTAAACTGTACATGTGGTTTTAATTAGAGCTGCAGTCACTGTGATTATTATTAGTAATTGAAGATGGCGACTAGGAAAACCACATGTGCCACATGTAGATCGCGGCGACGCGGCACCTTTAGAAACGACTCTTTAATGGTTACATAGATGAATCGATAACAAAATGATTGTAGTTGCAGCCCTAGTTGAACTATTATCTACTGCTCTGGCAGTGTTCGGGCAAACAAGGTAAATCTGCAGTTTTGTGGATGTGTGCTGCCTCCAGAGGCTTCTGCAGTTTAAGCACCACGTCTGAGGAGGCAGCTGACTAAAGTGTTTTGTGTCCTCCTCAGTTCCGCACATACTCGGTGAAAGCCGGACGTGAAGGAAAGCCGCTGCCAATCATCCTGTGTGACACCATGGGATTGGAGGACAGCACGGGGGCGGGGCTTGATATCGAGGACATCACCAGCATCCTCAAAGGCCACATGCCGAACTGTTACCAGGTAAAACTCTCTCTCCTTAATCAAACAATTGTCATGTGACCTAAACAGCTCTCCTCTTCCTCCCCCTCTCCTCTTCCTCTCCTCCTCTTCCTCCCCCTCTCCTCTTCCTCTCCTCCTCTTCCTCTCCTCCTCGTCCTCAGTTCAATGCCTCTGCTCCTCTTCACTCTGAGACTCATGGATATCGTTCGTCTCCTGAGCTCAAAGACAAGATTCATTGTTTGGTCTTTGTCCTGGATGGATGTAAGATCTCCATCATGCCTGACAAACTGGAGGCCAAACTCGCCGCTGTGCGTCGCAAAGCCAACCTGCTGGGTCAGTGTGCGCCCCCTAGTGTCCACGTGTGGTGTGTCATGACTCTGAATGTGAGTGTGTCTGTGCAGGCATCCCTCAGCTGGCCCTGGTCACCAAAGTGGACGAGGCCTGTCCCATAGTGAAGGAGGATCTGACCAGCGTCTACAAGAGCCCATATATCAAGGACCTGGTAATCGAGTCTTTATTTCAATCCAAATGAATCGAAAAGTCTGTGTTGCAGCACATACAACACATCAACACGTCACATGTCAATGTGAAAACTAAATATACTGATATTTATACAAACATGGACAGGCCGATGTCTGAGGAACAAAAGGATGCACCTTTTTATGGAAATAACATTTTGAGCCACAGAGGACACCATCAAAATCAAAGTGAAATAGTGATGTGATGGCTCGGTCATTTTGCCAAAATTTTAATTTCTGCCACTCAGAATACTTCTCGGTCTCATGTGTGGCCTCATGTGCTTGTGTGAATGTTTAACATCATCGTGTCTCGCTCCTAATGACACAACAGGTGGAGTCCTGTGGGATTTCCTCTCAGATCTGTGTGAGAGCGTCACTGAGCTCCTGTAGAGTCTCAGGAGGAACCTGGAGGCGTCTGATGGACCCAAACATGTTCCAGAAGTTTTCTATCAGGTTTAAGTCAGATGATCACGAGGGACAGTCGTCCTCCAGGTTCTGCTGTGGACTCTAGCCACATGAGGCCAGTGATGCAAGTGTATCTCAAGTGCTCAGGGTGAACCTGCTCCCATCTGTGAAACACACAGGGCACCAGTGACAGACCTGCTTCTACACTTCTACACTTCTACACTTCTACAGGTCTACACTTCTACAGGTCTACACTTCTACAGGTCTACACTTCTACAGGTCTACACTTGTACACTTCTACACTTCTACAGGTCTACACTTCTACAGGTCTACACTTGTACACTTCTACACTTCTACAGGTCTACACTTCTACAGGTCTACACTTGTACACTTCTACAGATCTACAGAACTGAAGCAGCAGCTTGGATGAACTGCGAAATGTATTCGACCAGTCGACAAACTGAATTTCTCCTTTTGCCATCGATTCTACCTGGACGACTGACAAATTACACACATGTACACACATGTACACACATGGACACACATGTACACACAAGTACACACATGTACACACATGTACACACATGTACACACAAGTACACACATGTACACACATGTACACACATGTACACACATGTACACACACATGTACACACATGTACACACAAGTATACACATGTACACACATGTACACACATGCACACACATGTACACACATGTACACACAAGTATACACATCTACACATGTACACACATGTAATGTACACACATCTACACGCATGTACACACATGTACACACGTGTTAACAGAGATCACACAGACATAATAATAATATTTTCTCTTTATGATACTAATACTGTTTGTTGTTTAGTTGCAGGAGGCCAGTGCTCGTCTGGGTCTGCCTCTGTCCTGTGTTCTCCCTCTGAAGAACTACAGTGAGGAGCTGGAGCTGGAGCTTCCTGTGGACATCCTGGTACTTTCAGCTCTGCAGCAGATTCTGCGATTCGCCGATAATTACTTCGACGAACTCAGTGATCGCCTCAGCAACTCCGAGGTCAAGTAATCACCTCGTACCAAAACGTGGACTTAAACTGTTATGGCCTTTTGCATGTTTGATTCCGTTTGTATTTTCTTTAGATTATATTTGCAGTTTTCTGGACAAAAATTGAAAAAGAGTTTGTGCTGATGCTATTTCCAGTAGTTGGTGACATCACACACGACTGCCCTGATTACAGCCAAGTGTGTCCTCCCCCTCACTCTCCTTTAGTCCTCCAGGTACTGCCCAGTTTAGCTGCTTTCACTTTACTGGAATTTAACTTGAAATAGAGATTCATTAAAGCTACATTGTGTCACTTTTCTGGTGAAGAGTCCGTCAAACCCTGTCCTCCTTTTAGATGTTCTTTGCTTTGTCTGGAATGTTTTGCAGTATGACACTAAACCTTTCTGTGTTCATGGAGACCAAACCAGATGGAGTTACGGGTCAGATCTGTGGAGAGGCGACCCCGCTCAGTCACAATGTCTGTTTTTCTAGGTATTTCTGAACAGTAATTGAATAATAAATGTAGGATAGAGCTGTTTAATGTCATACTGTGGGACATTCCAGGCCGAGCAACGACAAATCCATAGAAACAAGCACCAGAAAAGTTACACAATGCACCTTTAGTGATCAGCTCATGGGGTACATACAGTCTTATGAAGCTACAGGGTAAAAGCACAAAGTTTAGAGCCGAGTTCAGCAATACTTCAGAAACACTTTTCATTCCGCACTCTTCTCTCCAATTTATGTCTCTCTTTTTCAGTTTTAATCTTCATGATTATTTATGTTTTGATTTGTTTTTATTATGATTTTAATGTATTTCTTATTCTGTAAAGCACTTTGAATTACTTTGTGTACGAATTGTGCTATACAAATAAACTTGCCTTGCCTTGCCTTCTTAATATTATTCAATTAAATAAGTCTGTAGTGTTTATTTTCAGGAAATCAGTGAAATCAGGTCAGATCAACTAGGATTTTTCTTATTTTTTTCTGTTTAATTAGAGGAGTATATTAAATTAAAAGAATTTGACCTTCATATTTATTGTTTTATATTGGTGAAAAATACCATAATTTGCACATTTGATTTGTAAATACTAATTACTAAGGTGCATTGTGTAACTTTTTGGTTGGGGTTAGGGTGAATCATTTGCCCCATTGCAGGTGACGGACCCTCCACCAGACAACTTATACAGTGCACCTTTAAATATTTTATGTATTCAGAGTTAATAAAGACAATAAAAAAGAAAGACGTATTAATTACTCTACCTTGAGGAGTAATTTTTCCAAATTCCAAAACTTTTTGTTCTTAATTTCTTGCACCCGGACCCAGTGGTGGAAGAAGTACATAATTTTCTTACTTATGGGTCTGTCTGTATGAAATCAGCCGTTTTCAAGAAATCTCCCCTATGACCCATCTCAGATTTGGCTGAAAAATTTTCAAAAAATTTCTAAAATCACCAAATGAAATAATCTCAAATTATAGCTCAATCCCTTGAGTCATTCCTGAGTTATGGCCCGTTGAAATTTTGGGGCCATGTTCACTTTTTCGGAAGCCTTAATTTATAATCATGTTTGAGACACCAGAACTTCATCAAAAATAGAGCTAGGAAGCTGAAGCTTTGTATTATTGTAGATTCTTGGTCATAGATTCGGAATCTGTTGTCAAACATTGAGTATCTTTATTAACGGGGCGCTGTGGGCCCCCAAAATCTCACATTTGGTTCAGCTTATTTTTTATTTTTTTCAATTTTTGAGGTCCAAGATCTTTCTACTCCAAGCAGATATTTACAAACTAACTGTTGAACCTGAATATTTGAGAGAACGACCATTTCTGACAACAACCTCACACTTTTCTGAGTTTTCATGTGGACGGTGTAGCGTCTTAAATATGGTCACAGATCAAATATGATATTTTTGGCTCCTTCTTTGGACCCTTGGTTCCCCATGTGACACAGTTAGATGTTGATAAAAATACCAGATAAACTTTGACATATTCTGATTAGTTTAAAGTTATAAAAAAGCATCCACTATTAACTTCCTTCATTTCAAACTGAATTTTTGAAAATGAGTCTCATGGGTCATTATTTTGTGGAGCTTAGGGACTTTTCCACCTGTTAGAAAAGTTCATTTACTTTTAATAGTCTTAAACACTATTTGTTTGTTACAAGGGAAGACATTTTCCATTTTCTTCCGCTTATCCGGGGCCGGGTCGCGGAGGCAGCAGTCTAAGCAGGGACTCCCAGACTTCCCTTTCCACGCACACTTCCTCCAGCTCTTCTGGGGGGACCCCAAGGCGTTCCCAGGCCAGCCGAGAAACATAGTCCCTCCAGCGTGTCCTGGGTCTTCCCCGGGGCCTCCTCCCAGTGGGACATGCCCAGAACACCTCCCGAGGGAGGCGTCCAGGAGGCATCCGGAAAAGATGCCCGAGCCTCAACTGGCTCCTCTCAACGTGAAGGAGCAGCGGCTCTACTCCGAGCTCCTCCCGTGTGACTGAGCTCCTCACCCTGTCTCTAAGGGAGACGCCCAGACACCCTGCGGAGGAAACTCATTTTGGCCGCTTGTATCCGCGATCTTGTCCTTTCGGTCAATACCCAAGGGAAGACAGTTGGAGATTATTTGTGGTACATTGTTTGGAATTAATCCTTTGAGACAATTCAACTATTAAAAATTATGAAAAAAGGTTTGTTTGCATTATTTATTCTATTTTTATTTGAGAAAGATCATTTGTAATCTCACAAAGAAACAGCTTTTCATGGTGTATAAATAAAGCAACAAAAGTTAAGACAGTGTTGTTGGAAACTAATCAACGGCAAATTACAATTGGAATATTCATTTCCTGTTAAATCACAAAGTCTCTGATTCTATAACCATGACTTTCAGTATCACCATATGTATATTATTTTTGCACAAAAATATTACAAGAAGGCAGTAATATTAACAAGGAAAAATTTGATACTGACTCAAAAGTTACCAATATAAACTAATCTGATCTGTTATTTGTTCAGCTGCTAGAAATTACATTTTAAAAATTCAGTGTGAAAAACAACCTCAGCGGAAAATACCAACTGTGACCAGGACGGGTAGAGCGGCTGGATTGCAGTGAGAAACACCAGAAAAGATGATGGAGGCAGGTTTAGCGTGGTCCACATTTTTTTAATTTATTTTTTTCCAATATTCCAGAAGTGCCAGTGCAAAAAGTGCAGGGAGGATAAGGAGCAGCAGGTCTCTCCAGCAGCAGAACATAGAACGATCTAATCAGGCGCCTTATATACTACTGGATAAAACCATTAAAACTCCAAGGGGTGTAAAATAACCTTAGCTGTATAAAACTAAGTTAAAATACTCCAATAAAATACCCATAGCCAAAGAAACTATATAAAACCCAAATACAAAAAAAAAATAAAACCCTAAAACTAATTCCTAATAAAACACAACATGAATATCCCAATTAAAAACGAGTTCCATTCCCCCCCAATGTCCGCCGTGATGAGTCGGCCCGGAACTCTTAAAAGGTGTCTGGTTCCCCGGGGAATCTTTCCTCCAGACACCTGGACAGAAGACACGAGTAAGTAAAAGCACTAACAAATAACAAACATGCACACACATCCCACTCTCACACTCTAAAATACCCACATGACACACACACAAACACACACAAGACACAACTCATTTAAAATGAGGCACATATATTGCACAATACCCAATTGTAATGTTTGGTGTATCTCCGCAGACCGGTGCCCGTCCGACCGGGCCCACGTGACACCCACTCAAAGTTTTCTATAAATATATATATTATTAAAACAATACAAATGTGTGCAATTCTTTATATGTGCAAATTAGCGTATCTTATAAGTGCTGCGTGCTATAAGGTGCAATGTAAATATATATAAAGTGCAAAGTGAATGAAAGTGCACGTGTAATAATTACTACGTAACGAACAGGTCGTTCGTTACACCAACATACTGGAAAAATCTGCCCATTCTGGCCCATTTGCCGCCTACATGTAGATCATCTGTATTGGGATCTTGCACACTAAGTGTTCCTCTCGACTAATGAACTTCAGATGTAATGTCTGGATCCTGTTTGAATCTGCAGTGTCAAGGCGATAATTTTGTGCTCTTCTTTAATAAAACAGATTCTGTTCTGAAATGGGATCCAACATGGTTCTGTCGATGTTCAGGAGGACACATGAGGGTTCTGTCATCTCCATTCATGAATCTCACATAAACATCACTGTGTTCATCTGAATGCTCTGAAATATTCCCAATGAACCACCTGATGTCATAAACACATGCATGTATTGACCTGCTGGTACAGACAGAAATCTGACACAGTCTCATTTTGTATGTCAGAAACTGAAACTTCAGGACATCAATTATCTTGAGATATTCTCCATTTGACACTGGAATGAAACTGTGGTGTGATCTAGTACCATTCACAGTCTTTGTCTTGCTGCAGCACTCTTCTTGTTTGGAAGTAAGTTCATGGTGTGTAATGTATTAGAAAAACTTTACATTCTTTATGTTTTGTGAAGCCCACACAAACATCTGGAGTGTGGTCAATATTTGATTGCCGTCAGTACCTGAAGACTGGTCCTTGCAGTGTCACCAAAACCATCACAAACAATGTACCACAAATAATCTCCAACTGTCTTCCCTTATAACAAGCAAATAGTGTCTAAGTCTATTAAAGGTAATTGAATTGCCCTGTGGGGATCAATAAAGTTTTCTGAATCTGAATCTGAACTTTTCTAACAGGTGGAAAAGTTCCACCAAAAATGACCCGTGAGACTCATTTTCAAAAATTTTGTTGAAATGAAGGAAGTTAATAGTAGATGTTTTATTACTTTAAACTAATCAGAATATGCCAAAGTTTCTCTTATCAACATGTATCTCTGCTACATGGGGAACCGAGGCTCCAAAGAAGGGGCCAAAAAGATCACATTTGGTCTGTGATCATATTTGGGACTCTGCACCGTCCACATGAAAACTCAGAAAAGTGTGAGATTGTTGTCAGAAAAGGTCATTCTCTCAAATATTCAGGTTCAACTGTCAGTTTGTAAATATCTGCTTGGACCTCAAAAAGTGAAAAAAATAAATAAAATTTGAGCGGCAACCAAATGTGAGATTTTGGGGGCCCACAGCGCCCCCCTTAATAAAGATACACAATATTTGACAACAGAAACAGAATCTATGACCAAGAATCTACAATAATACAATATTTCAGCTTCCTATCTCTATTTTTGATGAAGTTCTGGTCTCTGAAACATGATTATAAATTAAGGCTGAGCATGGCCCCAAAATTTCAACGGGCCATAACTCATGAATGACTCACGGGATTGAGCTAAAATTTGAGATTCTTTCATTTGGTGATTTTAGAAATTTTTAGAATTTTTTTTCAGCCAAATCTGAGACGGCTCATAGGGGAGGGCGGCTGATTTCATATGGACTGACCCTTATACTTAAAAAATACTCAAGTAAAACTGAAAGTATCACATGAAAAAATCTACTTAAGTAAAAATATTAAAGTACCTCTTTATAAATGTACTTCAAGAGTAAAAAGTAATAGTATTTAGCAAAGATTTTGAGATCTAATAAAACTTCAGATGTAGTGATTCTGATGCAGATTTGTGTTTTGTGTTTTCTTCAATGGAAGCAACTGAATCCATAATTTTTCCAGAAGTTTCTATTTGTGTATTTTTGTTTGCTCAAGTTATGAACGTGTTAAAAATAAATGCTCAGCCTTTTCAGCAGCTCTCAAAATAATAAAAAATGTAGAGGAGTAGAAAGTACAGATACCTGCTCTCAAAGTAGTAGTGAAGTAAAAGTAAAAAGTATCCACTGTAAAATGTACTTAAGTAAAGTAAAGATACCTAAAATGTATACTTAAACACCATACAGTTCGCCGAATTCTGCTTCTG